GTTGGAGTGTGGTCCACCCACAGCGCATATCTTGCTCGGGCTCTTCGCCTCATGCAAGATTTGCAATGCCGCAACGCATCAGCGTGCCATGACATCCAGGCTGTGATCGCCGAACTGAAATCCATTTGCTCGATGACTCTCAATTTGTGGCTGGGAACTGGCATCACTTTGCTGAGTTGTGGTCTCAGTACCTTCGCAGCATCCCCCGTTGGCCTCAACGGCCCAAGGTTATGACTTGGCTATGCCACGGTTACGCAATCGACTGGGTCGACCCTGAGTCACCCTGCCAGCAAATGCACCCGCATTTTAAGGCTAAACGCAAGGAGGTATGCACCATGCTCGCCAAGGTGCTTCCCCAGGACTAGCTCCTCGGTCACCTGACGGGTACTCGCCCTGGTTTTGTGGTGTTTCCCAATAGGCAGTCCGCCTTGGCCCACGAAGAGTTCACGGACGGTGCCATCCGCAGTCTAGTGGAAACAGGGATGGCGGTGTTGTTCGACCCCGCCCTCCACGCCCCGGTGCAAGTGGTTAACCCACTGGCGGTGGTCACCCAAAGCACAAAGATGCGACTGGTGATTGACCTCCGTTATGTTAATTCCTTCGTACGGTACAAACCCGTGCACTACGAGCGGCTGTCAGACGTGCTTTCATTTGCTCATCACGGGTGTTACGCCATTGTGACGGATTTGAAGTTTAGGTATCACCACCTGCGCATGCGCAGGTGTGATTGGCCATTCCTCGCGGTGCACTGGAAGGGCGGAACCCTGCTTCTGACCCACCTGCCGTTTGGTCTGGCGTCCGCGTGCGCGGCCTTCACCGACATCCAGACCGCTTTCTATTGGCCTCTTCGGCATTTCGGATCGTTGATGGCTTTCCTCATCGATGATCGCTACGGAGCCGCGGCACCCCGCAGTTCTGCATGCTGGACGGTCTGGTATTGGCCCTGGTAGGAACTGCCCTCGGGACTTTCTTTTCATCCAAGAAAGTAGACTGGCTGCCGAAGCAGAGTCAGCGTTTCCTCGGATTGGAGGTCGATTCCGGTGTGGGTGCGTTTCGCGTCCCTGCAGACGAGCGCAGCTATTTCCTTTCCACAGTGCGCGACCTTCTGGCTGGTGAGCACATCACTCCCCGCTAGCTTGCTCATATTGCGGGGCTCATCGTCTCCATGAGTATGGCCATTAATCTGTGCCCAGTCTTTACCAGGCGTTTATTTGCCGCCCTCGTCGGGGCTCAATCCTGGGACGAGATCTTCCCTACACCTCATTCGGTGCGCGCCAAGCTAGAGTGGTGGAGGGACAACTTCCACAGGTTGGAAGGTCGGCGCTGGCCCAACACTCACAAAACGACAGTCGCGGTCGGTGACGCGTCAGATACACATGTTGGCGCATTCTTTCCTGGCGGGGCTCTTCCTTTTCCCCTACAGGTGCCACTTCCTTCGCACCTCATCGGTGCTAGTTCCACGGCTAGGGAGTTGTTCGCAGTCCACTCCGTTCTGCGCACCTTGCTCGCATGTGCCCCTGGCATGGTGAAGGCACATCGCCTTTTATATCACACTGACAGCCAGGCCAGCAAATATTGCATTGACCGTCAAAAGGGCGTCAATGAATGCCTCCCTCTCGTTTGGGAGGTTCATCTGCTGGCCTGGGAGAACGACGTGGAACTTGAGCTGGTTTGGTCGAACAGGGAAGATCCTTGGCAAGTACAGGCCGACTTCTTCAGTAAGCCTGATGACCCTCATGATTTGGGTTTCAAACCCGAGGTTGTCACATGGATTTGCCACCAGCTGGCCATCAATCCCGCCTCTATTACCCTCGATGTATTTGCGTCCGCCTCCACGGCAGTTTGTCAACGGTATTTCTCTCGTTACTTCGATGGCCAGTCCGATGGGGTCGATGCTTTCTCGCACGACTGGTACCAAGAGCGAGGCTATGCGTGGGTCAACCCCCCGCCCTGCCTGGTAGGACGGGCGCTACAGAGGCTCACCCAACACTGGTCCTCCGCCATTGTGGTGTTGCCTACCGCATGTCGCGCATGGGAGCCCCTGCTCTCATCCTTGCCCTGGCTCCGCGGCCCTTTGGTTCTGCCTCGTGCCATCACCTGGCATGGGGCAGTGATCCGCCCTTGGTTCTTTTGGGAATCGGGAGCGTCGGGCTCGCCGAAACCCTCGGGATGGTACCCGTGGGTATGGGTATTTGTATCACAACCTGGTTGTTAAAAGTCCTCTGCGACATTCTTCTGGTGATTGTCTCGGCCTCATGGCTCACCCACGGCCGCCAACCGAGCTTCGAGCTCCGATGGCAGTCCACCCCACACCCGCCGCGGGATCCGTTCCGCTTCTCCCGGCCGCTCATTCCCCGTCGCTCTCGCTCTTACCCTTCGTTCTGCCTGCACCTGGCGATACCAATGCCGCCCCCGATCCACATACTGCTCCACGGTGCCTACCGATCGTAACAGCGTTTGGCTGGCCACATCGGCTATCGACATCCCTAGTTCATGATGCCTATGTTGTAAGCTTCCCCATTTACTACTGTAGTAGGTCAAGGTTCCTGGCGCATCGACTCGTTGCGCCCATTGGCGCATAATACGGGTGGCTTCCATCGCATCCATGGACTGGTTCTGTGGCCCGTGGTGGCGCTTCCAGATGGGTAGCAACACCCGAGTCAGGCCATCCGCGCCCATGCTGCCAGAGCCAGTCCCCCATGGCATTGAACCAATACAGGAACCCCAACTCCTGGCGCTGGTCTATCTCGACCCGTCCTGGCCGGAACTCTGTAGTGATTTTCAAGGCCCATACATCCAGCATGATTGACCCCTCCACGGCGCGCAGCCCAGTCTCGGGCGCCCAGACCGGGCGGCCCCACTCATCCACTATCATGTCCCACATGTATGGTCCCAGCTATGGCCTGACTCGCTGCCTGGTCTCCCATAGGAAGGTCAACAACAGTGCATCCTATACTACATGGCCTCTTTGCAGGGGATCTGCCTCGCTTTCTAGTTCGCGCTGGCAGGTTTTTAGCATTTTTCGATACCATTCCACCCTTAATGGCTCCGCGCTACTCTCTCCTACCCCCTGCACCTGCTGGGAGGCACGGTAGGCCTTCTTCTAGGTCCGGACATAGTCTGATCTATACGGATTCCCGCTCCCGTCACCGCTTTGCCAATCACCTTCCCGCCCATTACGGCGGAACCAACTACTCAAGTGGCTGACTTCCTTCTCCATCATGCTGAAATGCCACACTCTTTCCCCACTCTCCGTGTGCGTCCGCGCCCGCCCCTGTCACCTCCGAGAAAACCACTCCAAGAAGGTTATCATATCTTCCGGCTGTGGTGGACCCTGCTGCCATTCCGCAGGTCAACGGGCCCACCAATTCACGAACTCTTGCTCGATTCGTTGTCTTCGTTGCGGCAGCCTCTTCTTGGCAATTCGCTCCACCCGCGCCCTATGTGCCTCTCGAGCCGCTCGGTATTGCTTGTTCATCTCGTCTATTGTCCATTCCTCCCCTCGAATAGCTGCCACAGGTCCTCCTAATACCTCGTCCCGGGTTTCCTGCACCTCCTACACCCGCGGTACACCCCCGTCAGTCCACATGCGGCAATTGCCTTTGCAGCCCACGATTGGGCCGAACGGTTGGGTATGCCTGGAAACGGCCCTCTCGCCTCCTTCGGGAGGAAAATGGCATATCAGGGTATGCGTGGCTAGGCGCTCAAGTATGGCGCCAAAGCAGGAATCGCAACCGTTAAGGAATGCCGGAGGGCCGTTGACGATCGAAACACGAGGCATATGCCCCTCTCCGTTCCGGGCGGGGGCGGACCATGAGGCCCACCCCCGGATCGGGGCATTTGGCAAACCGTTAGGGCGTGAGTGGACGAAGCCCACGATGAAAGTGGGTGTGAAGCGAGCAGAGGTCCGGAAAGGGACCAGAAACGGGGAAGACGCGATAGCGTAACGGGACGAGAGGAAATGGCGTAATATGATTTAAGGCTAAATGGTCATTTGTTAAGATACACTCACACTGAGCAACATTCTTAACATGATCAATGGAGAATAATGAGCGCGGGCGCGCTTGACCCGCGATTGATGGGATAAAGTGCGTAGCACAGCGATCGAGGCTGTCGCTTTTCGCGTCAAGTGCTGCGGACCACAACCTAGCATGACCGCCGCCGCCAGCCCGCCGCGGAAGCAAGCGCAAAGGATGGTAAGCATGGCGGCGGGGAGAGCAAGCCGCGCTGGTGGAAGCGGAGAGATATTTCACGACCCACCCACCCACAGCCCGTGGGGGTATACCTGGAAACGGCCCTCTCGCCTCCTTCGGGAGGAAAATGGCATATCAGGGTATGCGTGGCTAGGCGCTCAAGTATGGCGCCAAAGCAGGAATCGCAACCGTTAAGGAATGCCAGAGAGCCGTTGACGATCGAAACACGAGGCATATGCCCCTCTCCGTTCCGGGCGGGGGCGGACCATGAGGCCCGCCCCCGGATCGGGGCATTTGGCAAACCGTTAGAGCGTGAGTGGACGAAGCCCACGATGAAAGCGGGTGTGAAGCGAGCAGAGGTCCGGAAAGGGACCAGAAACGGGGAAGACGCGATAGCGTAACGGGACGACAGGAGATGGCGTAATATGATTTAAGGCTACATGGTCATTTGTTAAGATACACTCACACTTAGTGTAAGTGGAAATGGGGCTCATGCCGAACCCACCGCCGGCCGCGAAGGCGAAGGGCAACTAACCGTGTGGCTGCGCCACAGGGCACCCTCAGAGGGGCGGCCACGACGTGCTGCGATTCGTTCGCACCGGCATAACACATGGCCGCATCCGTGGCGCTTATGCCCTCTTCCCCTTTGTGGCCATCGGATGGCCACAGCCACCACCTGCGATGGCCGCCATGCCCCTGGCGCCAAATGTGCGGCTCCCCTCTGAACGAGGCCAACGCCCCTGGCTTCGCTCCCCACGCCCGCAGGCCGTCGTTATGGCCCAACCGACCGTCCCCGCGGCCGCCGGGATGGCTGGGCTGCATTCCCGGCCGCTCGCGCCGCGGCCCTCCCGGCTCGACGTGTCGGTATGCGCGGCGGGGCGAGTGGGCGCGCCGCGCCCGATGGACCGCCCCCCGGCCAACGCCTACCCCGACCTGCCCACCCTCGCGTTCCAAACCCTCACCGCACCGCTGCAGCGGCTGACCGAGTCCCTGACCGGCCCGGGGGACGGCGTGCGGGCCGTGAATTTCGCCGACAGTGCGCCGTCCTGGGAGGCGCTGGAGGATCTGAAAACCGCGCGACGATCGGAGCTGGGCGCGCCTGAGCCGGACACCGCCGCCGGGCCGCCGCTGGCGCGGTCGAGGGAGCGGACGTTCGGCAAAGCGGGGCCGATACGCGTGAAGCTGTACCGGGACCACGCTGCGTGGTGCCCTTACTGCCAGAAGGTGTGGATGCTGCTGGAGGAGAAGCAGGTGCCCTACAGGGTGGAGACGACGCCGCTGGAGTCATACGGCGAAAAGCCGGCGTCGTTTTTGACAGTAGCGCCCAAGGGATACGTGCCGGCGATGGAGATCGACGGCGAGGTGGTGGAGGGGTCCGACGAGATCGTGGCGCGGCTGGAGAAGGAGTTCCCTGAACGGCGGATGGTTCCGGAGGAGGGAACCCCGGAGTGGGTCCGGGCGCAGGAGCTCAAGGGCCTGGAGAACAGGGTGGTGAGCGTGATTCAGTGGGCGCCGAAGCCCATCTTTCTGCGCGACGAGCTGAAGCTCAAATTCGAGGCGGGACTAGACGGGGTGGAGGATGAACTGGGCAAGATGGGCGGGCCCTACTTCCTGGGCGCCCGGCTGTCGTTCACGGACATCAACTTCGTGCCGTTCATGGATCGGTGGGCCGCCTTCTTCGCCTATTTCAAGGGCGTGCGGGTGAGGACGTCCGGCCGCTGGCCGCGCATTTCCGCGTGGTTCGACGCCATGGAGACCCACCCCTCGTACGTCGCCTCCAAGTGCGACTACTACGCCTGCACCCGCTTATTGAGCATGCTGCTGCCCCGCAACGCCGGCTCGTTCCTCATCACCAAAGACGCCCTGGCGGCCGACATCGACGGCAGGGACGGCGCGAGCTGGTCCCTGCCGCTGCCTCCCTTGGGGCCCGATTCTACAGAGCCCTACTCGCCGGGGGAGGACCCGCCGGTCGATCGGCTCGAGGCCGCGGCCAGGCTAATCGACAACCGGGACGCCGTGCTGATGTTCGCGCTGCGCGGCGTGGGGCAGAAGGGCGAGAAACAGTACAGTGCCCCGTTGGCCGATCCGGACGCTTCGCCGGGGCTGGAGTGGAGGGCCGACGTGGATGCCGCGCTTCGGCACGTGGCGCACGCGCTGCTGGTGGGCGTGGAGCAGAAGCAGGCGTCGGGGGAGGCGCTGGGCCCGGCGAGGGAAAAGGGGGGCTGCGACGGCGCCGCGGCGGTGTACTGCGCGGAGTACGTGCGGGATCGGGTGTCCGTGCCGCGCGACCTGCTGCTGCCGCAGGCCAGGCAGCTCAGGGCGCACCTCAACTGGCTGATCGACACGCTGCAGGCGTAGGCAGGGAGCGGAGCGTGGGCAATGAGCGTTCGGGTTGGTACTTGGGCCCCTCTCAAGGGGCGGCGCTGTTCTGGGATTGGACTTTGAAGCATTCGCAGAATAGAAAATGAATACGGACCCTGAGAAACATGACGGGCGTTTGGTCACAGTGGTTGACGGGCGCGTTGGGCGACTCCCGGTGGAACATTGCGTGTGGAAGGGAGTGTTCTGCGATCTACTGCAAGCTGAAGGAACGATGGCTGAATGGTTGATTTATGGTAATCCATGATTGGATGGAAGACAAGGATTGTTTTGTGATAGATTATTTGAAGGAAGGCGAGTCCACTTTGTGTATTTTTGTGTTCGTTCTGTAGGACAGGCTCCATTTTCCCTTTCGTTGTAATGTATGGACACGCTTGTGTTCATCATTGCTGTGAATTTGCTACAATGCGTTCAGTGTTTAGAAAACAAGCCAGGATTCGTTGGCATCTAAATCAGGGCTCCTGAATCTGGGCCTGCTTCGGGATTGTGTAGCCTGTGGATTTTCAAACGTGCAACAATTTATGAACATGTTTGTGTGCGTGAGATGTGGTGATGAGCTTCTGTTGCAGACAGGTAAATCTCATCTCCATTGTCCATTGCAAAGCCCGGCCCTTTGCGTAGGCCGACCCCATGCCATGTGAAGCCGTTGTCGTTTTGCTTGCCTCACAGCATGTAGAGAGTGTCCCTGCATCGTGCACTTGGCATCAAATCAATTTTTTCGTCTTCTTTCTTCACAATCATCAAACTGGTGGGTGCATGGCTCGCTGCAATGAAAATTCACACAGGTTGGTGACAAATTCCATGGGGACGGATTTGGAGTCGACGGCTGACAGGCCAGAGCATTCAGTGCTTTGAATCACAGCACAGCAATTCCATGAAGTGCAAAAGGCGCCGACGAACGGTGCAGAATGCTTTGAAGCAGCAAGAATCACGAAGCAAATTAGTTGTGTGTGAAGATGGCAGCTCCTTGGCAGAAACCTTCACAATAAGGATTTTGACAAGTGGCAGTCTTGGTCGCAGCATGCCACCAGCCGTTTGGCATATGTTGAGTCTGACCCGACCTTTGGGATTTACATTGGCGGCACCTGCATAATGGCCAGGTACAGTGGGCATGTGTACGGTCGCTAGCTGGGCACACGTGCAAACACAAGTCGTTGGGCGCCCAACATCAAGCGCGCAGCTGGGGGATATGAAGCTGGCGCCGGCCGGCCATCACTCGCATAGAACGCCCCATTGTGTCTCCGATGGCCATGGCGGGAAACAACCAACATCACCGAGGCCCCATAGGACCCAATGCCAGAGGCAAGCAATCTGCCATGAAGCCAAGGCGCACGGTGGGTTCAAGGCCTTGAAGTTCCCGGCAAGCTTGATCACCGCGGGCCGCACCAGTGCTCCCAGCAGCCTAGCAATGGCTTCCTTAGGCATCAACCGACCCATGCGCATGGCGACCTCTACCCCTCCATGGATCCCCTCACAACACATCGGTGTCTGCCTGCCCCCACCCCCACCCCCACCCCCCAGGGGTCATATCCATCGCCCGCACACTCCCCAGCCCAAACCCCTGCCCACCACTCCCACCCAGAAAAAGCAAAGATGCACTAATCAGCAAAGGAAAAAAAGGAAGAGCATATGCTCTGCAGCTACCGCAGAGTGATCGACTGCCCGACCAGCTCCTAGCCAATGGCCAATGCTCCAACCCATGCTCTTGGGCACCCAAGGGGCCCTGACCCGCACTCCTACCTACCGACCCAAAGTTTGGCCTGCCAGGTCATTCGATGCCAGATGCAAGTGATCGTTAGTGCCCAACCCTACATTGCACAGGTCCCCATCTGCTAACTGGCGGGTTGCCAAGGATCTCCTCCACTGTGAATCGCCCTTGTGGTGTGCACTCGACCCACTGAAGACAAGCCACACTGCTCAGCAAGGATGCTTTCCTTGACCCGCAAGTGCCACTTCATGCACCCCGTGCAGTCCGGGGGATCGCATACCACCAACCGATGGAGGGGCAAAACGTGCCCAAGGGGTGAGTAGGTGGGTGAGGGTGGGGCGGGGGTGGGGTGGGGGATACAACAAGTGTGTTGGTGTGGGGCACTTGCCCTCTTTAAACCATGGACGTGCCTTGCCAGGCACCTAGGTCCTTACGGGGACCTATGCAGGATCACCCCGGCCTACTCCCATATTGTAATATACGGTGCGATTCCAGGGACATTACAACATCTTGGGCAAGGTGTCCCCCACACTAGGAGACCATAGTAGGGCGTCCCCCACATAAGGCCTATGTGCGTAACGTTCGCCCCCATCAGGGAGATGGGACATCCCCATCCTAGTACGTTTGTATGGGAGTAGACACATGCGTGGCTAAATAGAGTGCATTATGTGGGAGTTGGCTATGTATGTCAACACATGCCTAGTCTGCCACATGTTATAAACAAAACATATACTGAAGAGAAAGAGTGGTTGTTACATGGAAAATGTTCATGCTTACAGCCCTCATTAAAACTCTTCCCTCAGCCTACCAACTGGAAAATCAGTTCTACCCTATGTTGTACAATTTCTACCCTATCGCCTCTCAGCCTGCGTGAATCTAAAGAATGGTCAAGACAAACAGGTCATTATGTACATTCTCTCAGTCTGCCGCCCCAAGTGACCCACCTGCAACCATAACCTCATTGCAAATAATCAGGGTCGTTGCCTCCACCGGGCCCTCGGCCTGAGGTTGTCATGAGTAGTCCATCACTCTGAATCCTCTCACCACTCATGATGGCGATGGACATGGCATTCATATGTCCAAACTGCGAGTGGGACCAGTGTCCTTTGTAAACAATATTCTTCTGAGCCCACCGCAGAAGTGCCTGTCACACATAGGAGAACAAACATGCTCACAATCAATGCGTGCGTTTTGTAATGCGACCAATTTGCATATTAGCAATAGGAGTTCTGCCATTCTCAAATGCTTCAACTAATTCCTATGCATTGGCAACCGCTTTTGCTGACTCTCAGCTATTGTGTTTATGTCCATAACCCAGTCATTTAACAAGGTGCTCAACATAATTGTGACGAAATTACTTCGGGAGACCGTTTACTCCCTTGTCTTTTCCCCCCGTTCCCTAAGGCCTCTTATTGGGAACATTATTATCTTAAATTATGTTGATTGACAGCCTGATTAAAGGCCCTAGTAGATGGGATTAGGGCCTTGAGGAGGTACTCCTTTATTTGGGTGATTTCTGGCCAGCTGCAGTACTTTGTGGCAGTTAGGGGGACGGCTGTACTGAGCACGGTTGTTTTGGGACATTTTTGGGCCCACGGCGGGCGACCCGGGACGCGGTACGCCCTGTCGCACAAAATGGATGTGGTTTGAGTCATCAGTAATCTTATTGCTTGCCGATTCTGGCAACTCGCCTCCCGGATCGCGCGGATCGGACCACAATCCGTGCGACCGAGCTCGCAGCATCCCGGCCTCCAACGCCGCGCACTCAGCGACCTTCCAGGGATCTGGGCCCACCACCTCGGAGTGCAACGAGCGCGCGCCCCGGTCAAGCCGCGGCCAATCGCGGCCGCGCGGGCCATTTCGGCCATTCGGGCAACAAGGCGGCGGCGCAACGCGCATCGACAAAACCAGCACCCCATCAGCTGGTTTCGGAGCGCGGAAGCTGAGGCGAACCGCGGCGGAGGGCTGCGAGCGAGAGAAAGAGCGGGGCGGCCCAAGCATTGGGTCGCCATTCGACGGGTCGGAGGAGGCGGACGCGGGTACCGGCCGGCGACCGCCGAATCGAGCCATCAATCGGCGAATCGCCGCGGCAAAGCCGGCGCCCGACGGCGGGAGGCCTTCCCAGGCCTTCGCGGCGGAGATTGGACGAGCGCGAAGCGAGCGCGACCCTTGCCACGCGCTGAGGCGGCGGGTCGGCGGCGGAGGAGCACCCAGGCACCTCGGAGGGGATAGTCAGCCGCATCACGGCACCGGTCTGACGTCAGAGAGGCATCGCGGCACCCCCCCGGCGGCGGTACACTGCGCAGTGACAACGGCACCGGTACAGCACGCACCCAGCACGGCACGCGCTGACGCAACGCTGCGCAAGGTGACACAGCACCCCGGAGTGGCGCGCGAGGGGCGCAGGCTGACGTAGCGCTGCGCAAGGTGACACAGCACCCGGAGCGGCATCCGGCCAGGCCAGGAGGCCACCACAGTGCCAGGAGGCGCCCAACTGAGCCGTTACAAGTACTGAGGCCTTCACTACCGTGCTAAAGTACTACGCCAAGGCCAGTACTGCACCCAAGTACTACACCAAGGCCAGTACTGCACCCAAGTATTACGTTGAGGCCAATACTACTTGAAGTACTGCACCTGCGGCCAGTACTTAAGGACTTGGAGGGGGAGTGGACTACTCAAGCCGTGGCCTCAAGGAATCCCAAGTGAACTCCAAGGAGTTGTGACCCCTTGAGGTGGGTTGGCTGCTCATTCCTGCACAGGTCCAAGTAGTTGGGGGAAGGAGTGTGCACAGGCGGGCCCCTACAAAGGGACTGTGTCCCCCCAGCCTTGGACCCAACCCGTTTTGAGGGTTGGTAGACCTTAGGAAAGTCCTAGAAGTGGGCCAGCCTTCACCAATAGGGTGTGACCCAGGGGCCGTCGCGATCCCCGGCTGGTAAGGCACTAGGCCACCCACAGTTCTTCCCTCCCCCAGGCAAGGGGCGATTGCCGCAGCATTAAGATTCTCCTTGGAATCCTAGTACTGTAGCCGGTGAGGGGGGGAACCGTGTCTATTAAGGACTACGTCTCAGGGGATCCTGAGATTGGGGAGTTCCGATAGCTCCCAGTCTACAACTACAGGAAGACCCAGTACCGTCAGTATCCAGTCTACCCATTGTTAGACCGCTTGAGGCATTTCTGAGCCGAGAGCGAGAGTTTTCATCACTGTTGTAGCCAGAGGAGGGAGATGGCGGACTCTCGTGAGGCACGGAATGGACGGAACGACATGGATGTC